GTTGTTTTTCAAAATTTTTATGTCTACTTAAACGGTATTTTTCGAAATTCCTACTCTGGACATTTACTTTCATATCGAAAATAATGTCTAACATATTTCAATTTCATCTTATTTTAGAGTTTAGTGATATTTCAAGGTGTTAATGATAACGATCTGGAATAGGGTCGTAAAGGTGGTTTAAGAGATGGCCCAATCACATGCCAGCTTTATTGACAGGCTAACATGTGTGCTGGCGCGTAACAGAAATAAGCACCACCCACTTTGGTTCGGAATTTCTGGCTATGACAAAACCATCGGTATACTAAAGAGCGCGAACTTCCGTCGCAACAAACTTCCAAACTTCTCCCAACAAACTTAAGTTCGGCGTGAATTTTACAGCTCTCCTTCAAAGTCCGAAATTCAATTGGCTTCTATAGTAACATCATGAAATCGCCAAGTTCGTTGCAAACTTCGAAAATTTCAAAAAAAATCGGAAACCTTTGTCAAAAGCTGTGTTAAAGGCCCTGTAAATTTAAAAATGGACTAAATTTCACAGGAATAACTATTGAAACACTCCCTCGCGTCAGAAGCGTACACCCATAGGCAAATAGTGGCTACCGAATTGACCAATCAGAGTGCGCACTTTACATTGTTATGATATACATGTAACATTTAATAAGTTACTACCAAAGGGATGAAGGAGATTTTTCTGTTCCTAGAAGGCATGGTAAAAACTTCTACTGCAAAAATAACAATATATTACAGTAAATGTGAACCTCTCTAAAAGTCAACAACTCCTTATAGCTCACCTAAGACTTGTACCTGAATATCGCGTGTCCACGTTTGAGTAGCGGCAGTTGACACCTCACAGCTGAAATCTCCATTAGCCTTATCATCAGCAACAGTTACTTTTGGGATAAACAAGGTAACGCGTCGCGTATCTGAGCTAACGCTGAAACGGCCCTGAAAATTCGGTGTGACAGCACCAGCGTTTCCAGTTAGTAGAACAGTGACTATACCAGCACCATTGAATTTTAAAATAGCTAAGGCTAAAGCTGACGTCACACTGTAGCTCCAATTCAGTCTGGCAGAAGATCCTTCATAAACCTGTAAATGGCCAGGGGGAAGTACTTCGCTTGTATTCGATGTTGTCCTAACTGGGGTTGGTTCATACCATGTGATACTTCTGCCATCTGAAGGAAAATATTTTGGATGACCGTCATACAACAACAATTCATGCTTTCGATTCCTTCAAAACAAGAATAACTTTCTTCTGATTTTTGAATTGATGCAGCACCGTATATGTTCTAAAAGGCCTACAATCTGTTGCTGTCAATATATCATCCAATAAATAAGATGTACTCATTGAGTGAGGGGGGCGGGGAGAGGGCCGAACAGGAAAATATTTGGCTCGAGGTCATGACATAGATACCGAGCGCATCGAGGTCCGTGCCTCATGACCAATAGCCAAATGTTTTACCTATCCGGTCCGACCAAACTTAGTCAATAAGCATTTTCATATGACCACTAACTCTTAAAAATTTCAACCAAATAGGACGCGATACTTTACGGGTCCACGCAGCCATACGAACAAAAATGAAAATTTGCATTTAAAATTTTGCTTTATTTTCCGGCGGCCCCGCTTACGTCAACTTTCACTAAAGTTTTCGATGCGATTGCGCAAGCGGGGCCGAAAGGGTCCTATGATAAAGCATTAGGAGATGAACTGAGTCCCAATTTAAAAGAAGGGAGAAAACACTGAAAATATTAGAGCAAAGTCCCAATTAAATACATTACCTGTGAGTTGAGGTAGACTCCAAGTCTCATTTCTTGATAATTTGTATTTCACAAGCCTCCGTTTAAGTGNCCCCAAAAAAAAAGCTGAGCGATCGAAGAAGCGACCAGTGGGAATACTTCCGTGTTCGAAAACTTCCGTGATTGGCGTTGTCACTATTTACTTTTTGTCTAGTTTATGGAGTCATTAATAATGAGCCATTTTGGTGAAATCTGCTTACTTATAATCTTTTATAACGAAATTTACAAAGATGAATTTGCTTTTGATTCATCTAAATGCATAATAAGACTAGAGAGAGTAAAGGGACCTTATTCACTTGAAACATTACTGCCAAGTATTCAAAGTGAAACTAATAAGAAAAAATCAATGGCCCCTAGCTAGAATAATGGTAAGTGGGGCACTCCAACGCTTTTATTCCATACATCTTTTTGGAAGAAGGTGAGTATAGAAAGCCCATTTACCTTAATCATTTTACTCAATTCCCACAATCAAACAAAAACGTTAAAAGGGCTATTTACTCTAATTTCAGTTGTATTACTAGTTGTTACGACTATATCTCAACGAAGTATCAGCACAAGAAATAACTCGTCGAAGTGGATAAGAGTCGCGGTGGCATCTTCATCAGAGCGCACGAAGTTAGAAAAAGGGGAAAAGCAGGCGTGGGATAGCCCAATTTTCTTAACATTGTCGCAATCTCTATTTACCATCATCAATCTGATATTCAAATGACAGACTTTGAGCAATAAAACACTGGAGAAATCATTAAAGAAGTTAAAGAAACGTTTTGCGGGGTTTGTTGATGAAACTCGTAATATTCGATGGATTCTGTTTGATACTCGTTCAAATTGAACTAACTGACAACAGATGATAGGTAACATAATGATTTTCCGTCTTTTTCATTCCCTCCCACCCGTGTCACATTTTCTCAAAGGATAACACCCGGTATTTCTCAATGAGAATGTGGGTAGTACCGAAGTGAAATGATCGCCTGGGCCGTCTGATGTGGTTAACCGCTGCACAGAGTTTCGCCATTTGCTTTGACGGTCATTTTAAAGTTCACCCCGTTGTTTAATTTCGTGAGTTATGAAGAAGTTCAAACCTGTTTCTGTGAAAACGATTGTCCTCGGAAGAACTGGGAAGACTGTGATTCATACTCCATCGACGGTCAGCTCAAACACAACTGGTTCTCAGCCGATCTAGGAAACTCCTCTTCTTGAAGCTGTCGATGACCCCGACATTCCCGTATTTTCACCTGATTGGGCTCAATATTCTGAAGCTCATCGAAGAAACTACAGCTCCGTAGCTAACTGGGAGAAAATACCGGATAAACTGTTCACAACAGCAGTGGGGGAAGAAACTCTCCCGGAGAAATACATTTGTGCCGTATGTGAACGAGAGGCGACTGTGCGATGTCGGTACTGCGGCCCGAGGCAATTTTTTTGTTTAACCTGTGCCCACAATCTGCACGCGGAAAGAAATCAATTCCACGTTCTGGAGCAATGGAAGGTATTTATCAACCACTGCTTGCATATATTACAATTGTATGTATAATTAATATATGGAAATACAGCAGTCAAACTTCAATAAGCTGTTGGATTAACGCGCTGTTTTGTAATCTCTATTAGCAAAGTTTTGCATTGATGACACGTNATGTGTTATTGTATACATGTACATCCTTTGCTATTTTGTTTCTACATATAGGTAACCAGCACCTGAAGGAAGTCGCCGTCTGTGACTGTGAAAGCCATGCGGTTACTTTGGTGCGTAGTCAGTTCTGGCCAGGTTCACCTGAGAGACCGTCTGTGGGCTTCCATTTTAAATTAATGGACCTTGCTGAAAAGTTATTCTTGCACAGTCAGGTGTCTATAAAGGAGTTTTCAGAATTGATTTTGGAAATGACACCACCTTTGCAGCCTAATTTTGTGAGTAGTTTTATTATTGCAGTGGTGTTCTTTATGAGATCAGTGTTTTTTCATATACTTATAGATTTTCTAGTATAAATGCATTATTTTTTTTAAACATAATATTGAGAGTTGCTCAGTTACATTCTGGAGAAGGGGGCAGTGGTTCAGCGCATCAAAATGTTTGGAGTGCTGGCCTTCAAATCTTAGCGAGTGTTGAATTTAAAAGCTATGTACCCTAATATTTTAATTTCCAGTTACATTGTCCATTTTAGAAATCTTCTGGACTGTTAGTTTTCCCATTTAAGCTATTTAAAACCCTGCAAATGCTGAGGCCATCAAGTTGTGTAGATGGTCTTGGTAGGTCTGTTCTAGCTTGCCTAGAAAGGTGACCTGGCAAGCAGACAAGGTTTACTAGCTGCAGTGGCTATGTCGATAATGGCTACGTGCTCAATTAAAATAATTTATTGTTTTGCAGATTCGTTCATTGTATGCCATATTAAACTCTGGTTGCTTTGAAGAGTACAGGTTAGTGGAATGCATTTTTAAACTGATATTTAAATATATCAGTGGGTGACTAACTTGGCCATGCCCTATATTGGGGAAAGAAATTGATGATGAGATGCAAAGGCACAGTGTCTTAGTTGTTAGAGAGCTAGTAGTGGGCTCTTGAGTCAAAGACTGTTGGTTTGAGCCTGTACTCTGTCATTGCTTTGTTTCCTTTCTATAGTTGAGAAGCCTTAATCCACATTGTGTAATTCCTCACTTAGGTGTATAAACGGGTACTGGCAGCCGTTTGGTAACATCTGAAAATCAGTACCCAGTGTGAGGTACTAGCATCTTATCCAGGGTACTGTAGGTGGTAGTGAAGCTCCTATGTACTTCATGTTAAAGAAACCAATAAGCATCAGTACAAATAAATGATTTGCTCGGCTAGTTCTCGTTTTGGTCAGTTTTGTCAGTTTTCATGTGGAGTAATTCAATTTTCTCAGGCAGTTATTAATTTAATGGTAGCAATATATTAGGTATATTTCTTTTAAAATATACTTAGAATTTATATTATACATTGTAGCAACCTAAATTAATGTTATCTTGTGACATGTGATATAGACATTTCAAGTACAAGCTAAGGTACTTGGACTCCTTTGTGCCAGAACTCTACAATGGTGCTGACTGCCCCTTGTGTCCCAAAGTAAGTTGTTCTACATAATTATTTTGTTATTATTAGTGGTCTGCCAGCCTCCTTCATGCTGTTTCTCATTAGGCAACAGTTAATGCCAAGTTCCATTTGACTGTAAAAGCATTGTACAGTGACTGTCATGATAACGGGGCTGATGGTAACTCACTTTATGCAATCTCTTTGAAATTTAGTGGGGGTAGTTGTCATTATTGAGTGTTTTGAGATGATTTCATAGTAATATTTTGTGTTTCAGCTCATTATAAAATTGACTTTACTATTAACCCTGCAGTTAGGAAAAGGTAATTACCATTTCTTGGTGTTTCCGTGAGCT